ATTTATATATATATATATGTGTCCGTGAACACGATAACTTGAGTAATTTTTATCCGATTTTGATGAAATTTGGTTTGAAGGTGTAAGGCGGGATAAACTTGAATGAGTTCGCGATCCAACATGATCGGACCATGGGAACAGGGTTTTATGGGGGGTTTTATGGGGTAAAAATTGGTTTTTCTCACTTTTTACCCTCAAAACACAAAATTTCTCAATTTTTCTCTAAACCTTCTTAAAGAGCTTAAAAAAACAAACAATTCAGTATATCAAAGTGTTTTTGTACGGTTATTGGTTACGGAGAAAACTAAAAAAATGGTAAATTTAAAATTCCCATGTTATTCTTATGGAGAATATTGTAAAATGTTGTAGTTTGCTTGTTTATGGATATATTTTGATCAAACTTGGCAAATTTATTTATTTTATAGTAAGCTATCAATATTTTACTAAAAACACACTACTTTATTAGTTTCCTTGTAGCAGCAAACCTAGGTACTCGTTAAACCTAATGTTATTTAAATAGATCAATTGAAAATCAATTCGGCCAAATGGAAATTCGCTTAGACGGCAGGTTTGCTGCGGCGGGGGTATTCATTTTTCATTAAAACTGTAATAAACTATAAGCCCAAAATAATCCAGGCACCATCAATACATATTTAATCCTATTAAAAAACAATACAATAATCCAATGTGACAGCAGAGTGTTAAGAGTTCTAGTTCTATTGCATGGTTCACAGTGCTTTTTCAGCTTTATTCACAGTAATTTTCATCTTTTAAAATTGGAATACGTTATTCAAGCTTTTAATGTATAAGGTGTTTAATTGCATGCAAGATATACCCTCGAATTCTCTGAATGTACATGTTTTTTATATTTTTATTTTTATTTTACGCCACTCTCTTATTAAATTCGAACTATTTGAAAGCCAAATTTGTCCTGATTAATGATTAGCTCAATTAAAACACAAAATGTCCTTTTGAGAACCAGTTTGCAAACTCTAGGTGAAAGGTGAAACCCAAGAAATGCAAAAACAAACAAGTTCCAACAACATTAAATATTTACAAGATAAGAAACTTGATTACATTCCAAATAAGCCACGAACTGTTTAGTCATTTTAAACCTAACAAACTTTAGATGATAAAGGAACTAGTTATCAGTTGAGGTGACATCCGCGAACGCACGACCTTGAATGATAACAATAGCGACTCGTAGAGGAAGTAAGCTTAGAACTTGGTAAACAGTTTATATCAATGCCAGGGAAACTTGAATTAATTACAGTAGAGGAACTTGAGCATTAATGTTAGTAGTGCATACCCATAAGATTCGAATCCTTTATTGTAATGAGATACAGAAGTGCTAATGACGTCAAAAATATAATTTTAAAAATGTAAAAGTTGTCATGAACACTATCACAGTCGACCTTCTGTATCATGGCCTTGTGGCCGTGCAATGCACTTCGCATTAATTTAAATTTAAAGCATACAGAGAGAATCGTAGCCTCTTTAAGTGTGTTAGTCGTAAAATACGTATTTTAATTATTCATTACTCGTATGTCCATCTGTACGCCCAAATGCGTTGATGTTTTACTAGTTTCTTCTTCTTGGGATTTTTGCATATTTTTCAGCATTTGCTTTTTTTTGTTATACTACACTGACAAACAGTACTTTAAAAAATATTTTTTTCGTATATCGAATTTAATCTGAGCTGAAATTATTATCACCTGTTTCAAAAGAATTTTTACATATATCATGTTTAATTTATGGCTATCAAAATACATACATTCAGAACTTTTTAGCAAGAATATTTTGTTTTAAGGAAAATCTGGATGTGGAAAAGAGCAACGTTAGTCACTGGCGGTTTGCGTTAGATCGTAAAAGCTAAATTAAGTTACCAACACCTTCAACCACCTCTCTGTGCTGTCAAAGTAAGGTAAATGTCTATACAGGGACATTTTTCGAGAAATTTCAAATCTGTTGGATTACAGCAGATCAACTTATACTTCAGTGCTTATGCTAGTTATATTTATGATTTATTAAATTTTTCTCATTCTTGACACTTGGAATTCCACAAGAGTAGGAAATAACGTTTCAAATGGTTTAGATATAAATAGTTTATTAAAAATTTAAGAATGCTTTGTAACAGTTTAACCTTTACCCTATATAAGTTGCTGTTCTTTACTGAATACAAACCAAATTAAAAATATACATATATGCTGTAAAAATAAACGATTTCAAATTATTACCATTGAGCAAATACTTCACAGAGAGTATTTGACCAAACATTGGGATAGATATCACTATAAACACGTAGCTTCATTTTCCCCCAGCTAAGCTTGATCCCCAAGTACCGTACCCAAAATTTCTATTATGGCTAAATTTTGCTCAAAAGGCGAAACAACCTACGTGTACTTTCTGTATCTAAACACAAATTATTGTTCGAATGATAAAATATATTTATTGTACTAAACACATTCAAATTAAGTATAAGGTTTTGGCTCATCAGTCAGAGGTATGACGTCATATGCAGTCAAGGTTTGGCGATAATCCCTACATAATAAACAAGGAAAATACATGCGCAAACAAACCATTACGACTGGAAGAAACTCAAATCTCTAGAAGTTTCCTGATGTTGAGTACAAGTTATGCTAATAATATTCCGTCTTGAAGTAAACTTAATTTATTATACTATGTGTGTTGAATTTCTAACAATTATACCAACACATCGGTGTAGGATTCATCTGAACGAATTGAATTTTAAAATAAAACTAATAATGTTTTAGTTGAGGAGAAGGAATCTATTTAATTGGCGTAAATACTTGTTCCCAGCTTTAGAAACTAGTTAGAAACCCGTATCTTTGATTAAACAATAATTTAAATCTGTGTACACAAAATGCCAATAAAGTTACTGCGTATAAAGTCCTGAAAGATGTACGTTTTTGTTAAACGGTTGACCACAAAATGAAAGCAACAAAAAAGTGTCCACTTGAAACAACCATACCTTTATAAATATAATATAAAACAATGTAAAACGTTAGATTTTAAATAGATTCTCCCCAGCTAAACCAATTTAGCACAGTATAATTAAAATTTTCAAATAAAACATATTGTTAGGTACAAATTAGTTTTACATCCGTAATAAAACATCACTCAAAAATCCCATAACTCTACTATCAGTCGTCCTTTAGACCTGACCTTGCTCAATAGCTGATAATATGTTCCTACCTTCATAAAGGAAACAATAATAGCTATTCTGATAACAGTCCCATTAGCTAAGCTTTTGATGGCCTACGATCTCATTCTTTGTTGTAATTTATGATTAATAGATGGAATTGGTGATTGTGAATATCAATTGATATTAGCTTTAGGTAATTGCAATGGCTAATTATTTGCAGCTTTTGTCATTAAGTATTGGCAAATTGGTAGTTGCTTTGAATTTTGGAAGAACTAAAGTATTTTATTGTCTGTGACTAAACATTCCATTTACTTTTAAAGTTGTCATTAGGTTTTAGTGAAAATTTCTGTAGTTGAATTGTGCCACATACATATTGTGCTGTTACGTCTTTCTGTTTAATTATGTCAACATTTTAACCAAATAAACTGATAGGGCGTCTTAGTGAAAGCTTTAGCATCTTTCATTCCACATTAGCTATCTCAGTAATAGAAATTAGGGTAGAAAATAGAGTTTTAGACTGTGGCACATTATGTGAGTGGCTCGTTCAAAGATTTTCCTGTGAAAAGTCAATAGCTGGTCTATCCAGAAATAATTGGATTAAATAGATAAAATATTGTTTCATGAAGAGGTTTTTTTGCCTTAAACTAGCGTGAACAAACTTGCCAAACCAGCTTTTAAAAGGATTTAACTATGCCATGAAATATGCATAAGCTTTCTATGTTTTTCGCATGTTGTAATTAGTTTACAATATACAAACCTTACGATTCATATTTAGGACTCGTATCATTTTGCAGCTTCAAATTTTCAAGAAACTCTTTTCTTATGACGTTGCTCCTAATTATGAAAAACACGACTTCAATGCAAACGGATTACATATAGCATTAAGAGGTCAACGGAATAATATACAAATAAAATTAGTGAAGCATAAAACCGATACGGTATTTTAAATTTCTTTATTCAGTATAAATTTTTTCGATATTGTTTTTCGGATTTCCATAGTAAAACTACCAGGCTTACAAGTGAGGTATAAAATCAACATAACTACTTTTAACTAAACGGACGTATTTTAATTTCCAACTATGAAATATTTATTTATATTTCACAACAATTATACAACTGGTGTGTTCAATAATTTACGTGTGGTATTAGAGATACAAAGCTTAACTACTGTAATATTACTGACTGGAGGATTATTTAATCCTGTTTCTCTAATTGATTTAGTTTTGTTAAGATTATTAGTTGCCACATTGTCAATTTGCATGAAAACAAACATAACTTTTTTTGATGGCAGTCATAAAAAGTTTCCCAACTTTAAGTTTCAATGAAAATAATAATAATACTTAGTGTTATCATTTTTGTTCTACTGTTTTAAATCTTTTGAATCATTTGAACACACTAAAATATTTTGAAAAGAGTGCTTTAAACTTCAATTTTCGTAGGCTATTTGAACAAGTAGTGAAACTTTGATAGCATTGTAGCAGATTTAAACTATTTACAGAAATGTTTTTTTTTTGTTTTTTTTTTCTAACTACTGTGTGCAACATAAACACAGTTGAGTACTATACTCAAAATAAAAAAATAAAAACAGTCATTGTTTCTTTAATGACGATAAATGGCCCTGGCTAAAGAAAATTATTCGTTTCGTAGTAACAATACTAAGTCATATACCAATAAACCCTTATCCTTAGCTCCTGAATCATCTACTTTAATTTGAGATCAAATACTCCCATTTGCGTCCTCGTCTTGATAACAATAATCCCACTTGTATACTCCCTCCTTTTATTTTAACTATAATTTAAAACCTTAACAAAAAAACTAAAATTCTAAAATTTACCTTTTCTCACTAGTTAAGTCCAAAGGGCGACTCACTATTAAGAAACACCGGGGAAGCGGTTTTGGCGGGTAACACGTCCACGACACTACACCGAGACGCGGCAAGCAGCGACTGACGCGGCGTGTAGCAGACGACAATCTTGTGCGCATCTTTCCCGCGCAGCCAGTGATAACAGCTGATAGCGGGCTGTAGCCGGTACGATAATCAACGTAAATTATCGTGTACCTTTTTTAATTATCGTAACAACTAATATTTAGTAAGTTAAAGGGTACAGAAATCTGAAAATTTACTGTAGTGTAGTGTTGAACAAAATATCCCAGAGTATAGTGCACTTAAGTAATCAAAAGGTTGTTAGTTTGATCCTGAAAAAAGTCAAGAGCTTTTTATGGCTCTAAACTGGACCATGCTATCCTTTATCAAAGAAATAATAAATGGTTTTGGTTGAATTACCAGCTGATTACAGCCTGTAACAAATATAACATCTCATGTTTGTAGTTCTTTCGTAATTTGGTGTAAAAATTTACCCTTTTTTGCCGGGGAAATTATCTGTTCTCGTGACTTAAAAATAAACCGAGCAGATCATGTAAATTGGATTGTTTTTGCGATTTGCCAAGGCAATTTAAGGCCTTTTTATTCAACCACCGAGACTACTAACCTTCTAAGAAAGCTTTCGCGTAAGGGTTTGAGTTAGATTATCAAAAACGTTCCAATTATCCACATAATTATAGTTGTTTCATAGCATTATTAATATTTTGGCTTTTCTTTAACTACCTGTGTAAAAATCAGCAATAGGTAAGTAACAAGTTGGATGTATCCTCATAAACATCAACACAAATTATATAAATTTAGCAGAACACGCTAATAAAATATACAATTACTCAGGGATATCCCTAAAGTAATGAAATAATTACATAAATATTGTATTAAATTTATTTGAAACCTTGCTTCCTCATTAAACCTATTTACACTAATCCGTATATAAAGAAACTATTGCATAGACTGTAGATTTATGTGACAAAATTGCAGTTAAACATTTCCACTTGACGTTTTATTACTTTTTGGCTTAAATATTTCAATGATAATCCTTTCTGGAAGGCGATGAGAATTCTGCCAAGACCCTTTCCTCGTTATTAATGAGTTAAAGCTTTTCAAGTAAAGAAACCATTTAATGAAATCGGAATGTGTACGATAAAATTGCAGCAATCGCTATAGAAAAGTGGATTAATATCCGCTTGGATTTCAACTCGTTTTGTTGGTTCAATGTATTTTAAATTAATAACTTAACTCTGGAAAATGAATTTTCAATGTAAAGGTAAACTTGGATTAGGTTAAATTATATGTTTTTATCAATCCTGATATTTTACTAAAAGTTAAGTGTAGTAGAAATAGAAGTACGTCTTTAACCTTTTCAAGAGAGATTTGAAGACAATGCACTCAAAACCTATGAGATTGTGGGCAAATATGAGTGGTATAAGTATATAATTTAACAATAGGTAACCAACAGGGCATGCCTTCAATTCTACAGGTTGCTGGTTCAAACCCAAGCAAAATAGAATCCATACCAGTATGCCATTTGACATTGGGATTTTAATAGAGATGCTATCAAACTCTATTATGGTCTATGTATATAGTAACAGGACCAAGGATTTAACCGTTCTCTCAGGAAATAAACGTTAAAATGTAAATCGTGTATACAGGTTGGCTGAAAAATAACTTGCACCCCCCTTAACTTTTCAACCATTAGAGATATTTGAAATCTGTTTGTGGCAACTTTCTTAGCTATGAGGGGCTATAATTATTATGGTCAATTTTGAAAATGTTGCCCTTATAACAGCTAAAAATGATCAAGACAATGGTTATTAAAAGTTATTTTGAACTGCCATTTTGTTATTAATGGTCCGATTTCTATTTTCTTTATGTTAATTGTTATGTTTCACCAAGACCTGTAAAATGATACCAAACTCGACTATACTTGCTATTGGAAATTATTGAGCTACCCCCTATCCCCGCTACCCCTAAGGGCAACATTTTCAAAACTGATCATAACTATTGTAGCCCTTCATATCCAAACAAGTTGCCGCAAACCGATTTAAAATATCTCAAATAGTTAAAAAGTTAAAGGGGGTGCGAGTTAATTTTCAGCCACCCTCATGGTTATTTGGATTTGAAACGTTTTAGAGCGCCATTTTCTTATTAGTGGGCCGATTTTGGTTTTCTTTATGTCAATTTGTATGTTTCGTCAAGACCTGTGAAGTGATACCAAACTCGACTGTACTTGTCTTTTGAAAGTTTTGAGCTACCCCCTACCCCCACTACCCCTAAGGGCAAAATTTTCAAAATTGACCATAATAATTATAGCCTCTCATAGCTAAGAAGGTTGCCACAAACAGATTTCAAATATCTCTAATGGTTGAAAAGTTAAGGGGGTGCAAGTTACTTTTCAGCCACCCTGTATACGTATATCACACAATAGAAAATAAATGATAAAACTAGCGGTAGATTTATCAGATTTTTTATCAATTCACCCCGGTCTATCCAAAATATTAACAGAAGTTGATTCAAAATACGAGATACTTACATTGATTGGTTATTAATAAATACAAGTGTACTGGGGAATAATTATTTCCGAAGCTAAACAATTCCAAAGAAATTCTAAAACTGCTCCGAGTATAAAAACCAAGTTTCAGATTTTTTATTCAGACAAAATGACATGTATTTTTAATTTCACTGTTATCTAATATTTCCAATATTTAAATAGTTCAAATAATTAATATTTTTAAATATTTCATATAAATTAATATATTTAAAAATCTTAAATAATTAATATTTTTTAATATTTCAAATATTTGAAATAGTTAATATTTTTAAATATTTCTAATATTTCGTAGCCAACGGAACATTTATATGAGCAAATTAATTTGTAAATGACCACAAGAATGCTGGAATATAAAAATTAATTAAATTTCAAATCAGCAACAACGTTTCATCAGATAGACGGTGGTAAAGGCAGATGCCACAGAGAGCCTACTTGAATTAATTAGAGAATTCCTTCCTCTTATTATGTTCCTTAGAAGCCAAAGGAAGAGCAAAATCTTTACAATCATCTGTAGTAGTCTAATGAGATTATGCATTTCAATAAGGATTTATATCTAGAATCGAATTCTTCACTGATTTAAAATACAATTGTTGGTAAACTCAGGAGGGTAACAATTGCTATTATTACTGTTACTAATTACTATTATCAATTACTGTAAAATTACTTGTTATTGAATTATGTAGTACATAAGAAGCTTAAAATTGTTCATAGGCCTAAAAGAGAACAGCAGACATTACTTAGGTTGAAATGTTTCAAGTGAGTTTATTTCATAATCGATCCAAATTACAATTTAAACAATTTTATTAATTCAATAACGGCTATGAACCCCAATTTTCAAGCTATGCCCCTGAATATAAAATAAATACATCGCTTTGTTACTTATTTACAACGTACATTTTCAGTGACCTACAACTACTGCGGTCCATGTTAAGTTGTTATTTCGTTTTTTCACTTCCCGCTAAATAGCTAATAAAAATTGAAAATCATAATTTTTTCTTTATTTCCAGTCGTTTTGGCTGCCCCTAGGTATGTGTTTTGTGTAATCTCTTATTTAATACGTATAAAACATTACGCATTACGTTAATTGGGTATTATGGCTGTAAATGGATTTGAATACTCGGATTCAATATAACTTTGTGATTTCTAATATGCAAATAGAAATCGCTATTTTCTTATTTAGTTAAAAAGAAATGCATGTTTAAACTTCTGCTAGTAAAACATTCTTAAATCTAGATTAAAGTAAAATATCTGTTATAGTAGACAAGTAATGCCAACAAGTTTGAACTAACTTACTTTATGACCATTGCGAATGATAATTAATAGCACAATAGTAAAAATGATCAAATATAGTTCTTTATTGGCAAACGTGTTATGTTTCGTAGGTCTATTCCAGGTCAAGTAGTATACATAAACATGCAGCTCATTGCTAAGAGTGGGCGACCTTGAATATATCTCCAACTAGATTTGCATAATTTACGCTAACTGGCTACTAAGCTATCAAGTAATTTTGGACAATCCAAGGGGTTTCGCTGAAGATAATGCTCATTTCTGGTGGAAAATAATTCGTAGTTAGGATAGTGCTAAATTTTCATTATAAAATATATTTAGCTAAGCAACAATTAGCTTGTAAGTACTTAACTAAAACTTAAAATTAATTATTTGATTTCAATTATAAGAAAAATACACATTTTTTTTATTCATGACAACAGCTAATTTGCAACCAAAAGGTGAGTAAGCGTAGCAAACGAACTTCAACCTGGAGGCGAGTTAGCGTAGCGAAAGAGCTAACCTGAAGGCAAGTGAGCGCAGCGAACGAGCTCCAACCTAAAGGTGAGTGAGCGTAGCGAACGAACTTCAACCAGGACGTGATTGAGCCATGCGAACGAGCTCACTTATGAAGTAAAACGGGGCAAAGCCCGCGGTTACAACTAGTTAATTGATAAAGAGGATATTTTAAAAGTGTGTTTGTTACTGACTAAGATCAGCTGTTTCATTAGCCAGAATCATTTATTGAAACCCCAATGATCGGGATCAGCTGGGTCCAATTTCGAATCATCAAAAAGCTACTGACTTTTCTGAGGATCGAACCAGTGACCTTTTTATTTTCAGGCGAGCACTGTAACCACTCAGTATTGGCTTCGTTTAATACATTAAAATTGAAAATGCTTTACACATTAGTTCAATGTATGATCGTAACAAACGAAAAATGTCAATATACTATTTATTTCGACAGCTTAAAAGAATGTAAGACAAATTGCTTTAAAGATGCTTCAAGTTTCAAAAAATGTAAGAAATGTAAAATATACATTCACTATTTTATGTAAAACATCTATTGTGAGAGTTCATGTTTTCAAATTTAAGTAACAAATATAAGTAGTTTTAACTAGTTTAACTTTCTTGTATTAAAACGAGTACCAACTATGGCTCCAGTGGTTTGCCGCATTCAATATAGATAAACGATATTATCTTTCGTTTGAACATGTGGTCCGATCTAAATATAATATTATGTTATGAAA